CACCAGAGCTCCCTTTCTACCCATAGTCTTTATAATTCCGACAGGATTACTGGATGGGACCATGCAAATAAGATGTGTAGAACTCTGATGTTGGGACTGGTTAGTTTTGTCACTCTGCTAGGCTTAAAATGAGTCTTCCTAGACGCAGAAAGGGGAAGCTCACTACTACCATCAAGCGAGAAGAGCTGGAGGTGAAGCAGAGCTGTCCTTGGACCTGAGATCCCTGCACTGGACTTCCTTGGCTGAAGAGACACCTGGCAGAGAGAAGCCCGGCTGGTAGAGACATGCCCAGCTGAGAGACAGCAGCAGGGGAACGAAGAGGTAGGAGACACAGCAGCAGGCTTTCTGGCACATGGAGTGAGAAAGCTGAGTGCCCTTGGGCAGGAGGCTTGCTGGCAGAGTTGGGTGCACATGGGTGTACCTACCGGGAGAGCTAAAAGAGCTTTGTAACACATGCCTGAGCAGGGCAGAGGCCAGGCTGAGAGGCCAAAGGCCAGACAAGTTAGGTCTGAGGGCACAGCAGAGAGGAGACTGTCCTGATTGAAGAACTGCATCCTGAGCATGTTCCTGAACCTGAATTATTACTAAATTATAATACTAAATTATAATTATTACTAAATTATAAGCCTGTTACTTCCCTAATAAACCCCATAATCATGAGTATTATCTGTGAGTTGTGTGGCTACTGCAATGAATTATCAAACCTAGCAGAGGTAGTGCATCCTATAGGAGGAAGAGCTGGTGTCAGACTTAGTGAAAAGGTTGAAGGGTGGCAGTATGTCTGGCCTCTTAGGAATAAACTTTGCGCTGCTGATGGTGATTCTGTCTTCCTCTTGTGAAGTTAGAGGAGGTCAGAAGATGCTGTCCCCAAATCCTTTTTGCACATATTAAATATGAATGATTCAAATAAGAAAAAGTTCCCTACACCCTTACTCCTGCTCTCCATTAAATTCCACCTGTGCCACTGTTTGGGCCAGCCCTTTTACTCTGCATTTACACATATACATGTACCCCGTGCATATGTACATAGTGGATCATCTTTTATTCAAACAAGTGGGATCATACAATAGATATTATTCTGTGGCATGCTTTTTTTCCCCTCTTCTATTTGGATACCTTTCCATGTTGGTAACGGCTACATGATACTCATAGTAAAGATTCCCCTTTTGATGGACATTTACGTTTTCTACCCTTTTCTATTATTAAAAATACTCCTGCAACAGCTTAAGTTATATACAACAACAAATACTTCAAATGTTCTATAATAAATATATAATCTTAGAATATCTAGAAAAGTTTAAAATTCTTTAAACATCAAAACAAATCACTTACTTTCAATTGGAAATAAATGTTTCAAGAAAGTTCTGTTTGATATTGCCCATCTTATTGCTGCTACTGCCATGGTGAATCAAGATGTTTATCAGATGGTATGAAAAAAGATGATTTGAAGAGAAACTTCTTTTAAAATCTGCTTCTTTAGGCACACCTATTTTCATCCCTGCTTAAGAGATAAAGAAAAATCAGAACTACAGATGGTAAAGTGATACAATATATTGAATACTACAAGAGTAAGAAATCAATGACTAGAACTAAAGTCACTTAAAGCATGGCTTTTAAACTGCTTTGAACATTCACTCAATTTAACAAAAAGACAAAGAGCAACATCACTGAAACATAAGGTCAGAAACCCCAGAACTATGTCTATTACTCTCACTGCCATCTAGGCAACTCTGACTGACAGCGACCCCCTCTGGGTTTCCAAGGCTACAAATCTTTACAGAAATCTTTATCTTTCTTCTGCAGAGTGACTGGTGGGTTTGAATCACTGATCTTTTGGTTAGCAATCAAATGCCTTAACTACTGCAACACCAGATCTCCATGTCTATTACTATTTCCCTTAAATGCAAGCTCCTCAGCACCCAGTGCTATTCTTTCCACTTAATGAGTACTCAACAAAGGTGTAATTGCCCTTAGAAACCCTCAAGCAATACACAGGGCATCCTCACATTGCTAGTGTAACTGTGTACAACCTATCAGTTATTACATCACTTACAGAAGAATTCCATTCCTGATTAAATGAAATATTAAACAAGGTCTATCATTAGCCTATTAAATACTGATTTAGAAAAACACATAGGAATGTACTAAAGCCCCAAATAAAATTTCGTTTTATGTATGACCTAACTTTCCAATATGCTTTCACACACCCCCCCACACACACACACACTTCATTTTAGTCATATTAATCCTGTGAGGTATCTTTATGTTAATTCATAAAGAAACTAAAATATAAAATGTAATTGGTTTGTTTCCAAGAACTTGAAGTCATTTACAAACTTGGAAACGCTGGTAAAGTCATTAAGGAGTTTCTTCAACAGTTAGATGGAGAAAACAATCACATTCTTCACATATAACCATTGTTACATTCTTTGTATTTAATTGGCCTCAGAAACTACTCCCTTCCCTTGGTTAGTGATAAAACGGAATGCAGTCTTATTGGCGAGGCTAAACCATGCATTGCACAGTCCATACATCAGCACCGCTAAACTTAAGTTCATACGATGCACTTTTTCGTTTACAACCCGCTTTCAGACGACATTAGGTGCTCTTTCACAAGTATGTGAAGTAGGCATTTCTATTTCACAGATTAAAAACCGAGGTTCTGAGAGGTCAAATACTCTGTTGCTAATGGGAGGCATGGGAGTGGGGACGCAAACTCACGCCTATGGCTGTGGGTCGAAGAACACATACTGAGGGGCACTGGGTTCCCTCTGTCGCAGGCCACTAGAGGTAAACACACCCCACTGGGAATCAGATCATCCACCCAGGGAGAGAATTTGAGTGGGTAGGTCTCTTGGCCCAGAATGCACCTCCCAAGCAAAAGCTACGAAGACTCTGAGATCCGAGTAACGGCCTACCATGGGCACAGGAACCAGCACCCAGGGAGAGATTACGAAAGACTTCAACCTGGTGGGGTCCCCGGAGCCACGAGTTCCACCAGCTTCACCCAGGCCGTCGGCCGGGCACGAGGAGGGCACTACATAAGGCGCACGACCACACGCCGGCCCTGTGCAAGACAGAGCCTAAGGATGCAGGCGGTTCTTCCTGCCGCGAATGACCGGCAGGAGACCTCGACACCTGCTAATAAATCTCCTGGGCCTGTCCAGCTCCTCAGGACTAAACTACCTAAGGAGAGGGTAGCGGGTTACCTTGACAGCTCCTTACAGCGAACCCACCATCTTGTCCCAATCCGGGTTCTACGAGACACCGCACGCCACCCCTTCAACTGGCGAGGCACTCTGGGAAATGTAGTCTCCGCGGGAAAATGGCGCCGGAACAGCGGGAAGGTGTGAATGGGACCTACGCCATTCCATGTTTACCGCATACCGCCCCCTCAAAAAATATGAAATCACCACTCCTATCACACTTCCTTAAATTGTAATAAGAACTTTTTAAAATACATATACTGTTGTTGTTATGTGCCTGTGGAGTCATAGCGACCCCTCCTTGGGTTTCTGAAGTGGTATCACTACCAATCATGATCCATACAATCAAATGCCTTTGCATAGTCAATAAAATATAAGTAAACATCTTTCTGGTATTCTTTGCCTTGAGCCAAGATCCATCTGACAGCGACTATGGTATCTCTTGTTCCACGTCCTCTTCTGAATCCAGCTTGCACCTCTGGAAGTTCTCTGTCAATATACTGCTGCAAACGTTTTTGAATTATCTTCAGT